GCTCTGTATGAGAATGGACCAAGAATAAGTTGATAAGTTTTGCATTCCTGTGATACATACAGCACATATCACAGGAACCCCAGGTTATATAGTTGTTTATATTTTAGCCCATATAGCATTAGGCGGCCCGCGCGCCTGCTCTTAGGGTTAGTAATCCTAAGAACAGGTGTGAAGGTGGCCCAATACTATGTGGGTTAAATATATAAACAACTATATAACCTAACCTGAGGTCAACCACCTTGCAGTGTATTTTGATTCCCTGCAAAAACGTAGTCAACTCAAAACCTTATATTGCGAGGCTACAGATTGCTCTTGCATGCCATAATATTAGTCCATGCAACAGGACTGCATATTGCACTGCATATTAACAGCACATTTTCCTGCTGTACTATCACTACTATGTATTACCATCACACTTTTATGCACAGCCTCTGCCCCCTGGTTCTGATAACACTGCCTTAATAAAACAAATCAATTGAGCAAGACAAGGGGCTATTTAAATACAGTATCTGCTCTCACCTTGGCTTCCTTGGGCCATCTTTGGTGCAGCAGAGATGGGGGCTTTCAAGCTCTCATTACTTCCACTCTGTGGTACAAGTGTAGCACCAGAGGCAGCACTTTTTACTGCTGCAGCTTGGACCAAAGTTGGCTTGCCTTGCGGTGTTGTTGCAGACGTAACCTGGATCACCATTGGAGTTCCTTGGGCTGTCTGTTGTATTGCGATGCCATGCGGAGCTATGGGTCGTTGGCCAATTGCATGTTTCTGAGGAATGTTGACCGCAGTAAGGACACGACCGGCTGCTGCTTGGTGGCCTGGAATGGATGCCACCATCTGCACAGGAGAATGACCAGCTAAAAAGTGAATTATTCTTTACAGGTAATTAACTTGCATAGTTTAAAAAAAAATGCAATAATTCCAAAATTGCAAAGCAAGATTTAGTCATCATTCATCAATAAGACAGCTCTATCAAATTTTTTTTTAGTATTAACACGAGCCCATGTATTACCAGGGTGCGATCATTCAAGATTTCTAGTCGTACCTGACTGGTACGCCAATGGTTGTTGCCGCGTACTTGCGCTAGAACAAACTCAGTACTCAATGCTCAATGTGTACTTAGTCTTTAAAAATAAGGTTCATAAAGTACAGGTTTCTGAAAAGTATGTTCAGACTACGAGATAGCAAACGGAGTTTTGCTATTTAAAAAGGGAGTTTTGCTATTTGAAAAGAGAGTTTTGCTATTTAAAACCGGAGGTTTGCTATTTGAAACGGGAGTTTTGCTATTTGAAAAGGGAGGTTTGCTATTTGAAAAGGGTGTTTTGCTATTTGAAAAGAAAGTTTTGCTATTTGAAAAGGGAGTTTAGCTATTTGAAAAGGGAGTTTTGCTCTTTGGAAAGGGAGTTTTGCCATTTGAAAAGGTGTTTTGCCATTTGAAAAGGGAGTTTTGCTATTTGAAAAGGCAGTTTTGCTATTCGAAAAGAAAGTTTTGCTATTTGAAAAGGGAGTTTTGCTATTTGAAAAGGGAGTTTTGCCATTTGAAAAGGGAGTTTTGCTATTTGAAAAGGGTGTCTTGCTATTTGAAAAGGGTGTTTTGCTATTTGAAAAGGCAGTTTTGCTATTTGAAAAGGCAGTTTTGCTATTTGAAAAGGCAGTTTTGCTATTTGAAAAGAAAGTTTTGCTATTTGGAAAGGGAGTTTTGCTACTGAAAAGGGAGTTTTGCTATTTGAAAAGGGAGTTTTGCTATTTGAAAAGGGAGTTTTGCTATTTGAAAAGGGAGTTTTGCTATTTGAAAAGGGTGTTTTGCTATTTGAAAAGGGTGTTTTGCTATTTAAAAACGGAGTTTTGCTATTTCAAACAACCGACTCCAACGTTTCTTAGTGCCATCAGTGCAATCATGTTTCATGCCAAGACATCTCAGACACATGATATATACCAAAAAAATAAATACTATATAAAACAAAGAAGTACCAGACAGTAATATTGGCGTACCTCCGGTACGGAAGTAGTAAGTACTCGAATTATCGGACCCTGGACAAGTGATTTAAAAAACGTGCAAGCATGAAATTGACTTGGGTTTCACCACATATCATCTTACTGAAGATGACATTGATTCATATATTATAATTTTAATCACAAAGATCGTATAGACAAAATTTATAGTTTACATTTGAAGTTTATTTCATGCATTTACTGTGTAGTAATAATTTCAACTCACATTAATTGATTGGCTTAAATTATTGATTATTCATCAGTGTCATTGGCAGATGAATCATGAGTCTCTGCCCAGTGTGCAATTAACTCTTCTTGATTGGGCCAAACTTTCATGCAAACTGGACAAATGAACCCCTATAGGATGATATATAGGAATTGATCAATTTATAATAATCGTTAACTGTTTAATATATTCATTAATTTAGTGAATTTTATTAATATTGTCTTTAGTCATTTGATTTTAAGATTTTAAAAATTTAAACCGTTGGTTATTAATTAACAATTAAAAGGTGTAAAATATGGTTGGAATTGAATACTCAAACCTAAATTAAATTGAGATCACAAATGAGAATTGAAGAGCAAGTAGGCTGCAGTGGGATTTGACTGTCATATATTTCTTAATGTACGGAGAAATTCCGCCAATGGTTATTACCACCAATACCTCGATAGTGTCTTGTTCAGGACCATCAAGACACTCTTCCTGTGGTATTGGTTCTTGATAGCTTGCCGCTGACGTTTCAGCACTCTCCTGCCTGTGAAGAAGTTAATAAATTATCTCTCATACTCAAGACAAACTGTTTAGGACAATTATGGTAACAGACTATTTTTCAAGAGCAATGATTTTATGTTTTCCAGCCTACCTTTGTAAATTTGTCTTTGATGCAATAGCACTTTTCAAACATTCCTTGGGTAAAATAGAATAAATGTGTTTCAATAGCCAAGTCACTCAAGTGTTTACAGGGGGGTGAATAGGTTTTTGGATCGTCGGATTTCATAGAAAAAATTGTCCGGATTTCAGATCTGGCGAATGTTTTACAAGGATTTCGGATCTTATTAATTAATACAGCAGATTTCGGATTTATCTAATATTTTGGCTCGGATCGCGGATTTTGCTTCAAATTTGGGCGGATTTGTATACCCCTATTCATCCCCCCTTTACATAATGTGCTACACATGGGATGTGACCATGCAACCATTGCAATGTCAAATGCATTGACACTTACGAGTGTATAACAAACCAACAAATATATATTTCCATTACATGTATGTGCCACCAAATTGAAGGTCATTTTTTGCACATGTACAGTGGATGATTAAGTATAGTTACTATACCATGTGCTACACGATCTCATTGATAGTAAGCGTTCAGCTATGGTATATTTAGTTAACTATATGTAAAGTTTATAAATTTATAAAGCTAATTTGCACCTGAATTATTGTATAATGTGGATTCCAGTTTATAGACTTCACAGTTCTAAATTATGAATAAAATATAAAAGCATGCATACATTTGCAATTGAAAGAACTTCAAATTTTTTACCAAATTTCAAAATTTTACAGAAAGCTAACATGTATATCAAAGGTATACTCACTTTAAAGAATAGTCTAAATCATAACTGGCACCTTGAATGTTAGACTGCAGGTTCTGTAGTTCAACCTTTGGTAAAATATACACATTGTTACACATTCAACTTATTACAATAAACCGCAATGCAGGACACTAATGTTCATTAGTTTGATATGTTTTACTGTCTAATGCTAAACTTATTAAATTAATGGGAAAATGTAGGGGCATTAATGGGTTAACAGAGTATCTGTCAATGTCTCCTCTTGTTAACCATTAAGCCATTGTGCACCATATTTTGTTATTTTAAATGTGTTTCTTTTCTGGATTATTTTTCAACCTTTTTCTCCACAAGAGTAGGCACAGATCGTTTGACGTGTTCTTGAATTCTGTAGAGACCCGTTGACGGATCATTTAACATCAAATGTACTGTTTCCGACAACTTGTCAGCAACTACATATATGATAAACAAAAACAATGTTAATTTTGGCATCATATAACATGTCTCATAAACAGCAGTATGTACGTGTAACGTGTCATCCAGGCAGGCTCCAGTGATTGGAATGTTCTATTTTAATTGTTTTTTCATTGATTTGAAAATCCCACTGTTCTCCATGCTGTCCAGTTACGATTCGGTGACCAGAATATTCCATTGTCTTATCATTGTTTTGAAAATCCCACTATTCTCCTTGCCATCCAGTCATGATCCACTGATCAGAATATTCCATTGGTTTTTCATTGTTTTGATGTCATCCAGTCATGACCCCTGACTCTCTTCTAATGTAGAACTAAGTACCAAATTGCTAAAGTCACAAACATACCTCTGGTGACTTTTACGTCCGTTTCTGAAAGCAAATGAGCCATAACAACAACAGTATAAACAATTTTACAAATTTATTTACAATATGCAACCGAATTTGATCCAACAATGAATTGTTTGATGTAAAATGTACGTTTCCAGATGAATTCTCGCCAAGTAATAGACGTGCATCACATGTAATATAATATCCTGTTTAAAAGCTTTTGTAAAATACAAATAAATACAAATTTTCTACGATTTTAAAGCTGTTTTGCTGATATATTTTTTATTTTGTTTTGATTTAAAATTGAGCCCGCAAACCAGATTGGCTACTTCATATAAGAATAATTTGAATGAACTTTGTTGTTTTCTGAGTGTGCGCAGTAAAGAGAGATTTTTCGCGCGAACCAATCCAAAACCCAACATGATTGGTTATAAAGTGAAACCATCTGATTGGTTCAATTCACTTCGCTTAAAAAAAATCGCCGCAAGAGTGAGAAAAGATATAAAATTGCTTTCATTTGATGCTGGTAGTCTTGTATTTTAATAGAGGCAACTAAACATCAATAAACAAGTTTAGAGATGCATTTTCTTGCCTTTATTTAATAGTGTCAACAGACCAACTGTATATGACTGTTAAATATCGAGATTGTTGGCATCTCAATTGATAGAGCTAACAATTACATACAATTTTAGACCTAGCTACAGGCCCTCTGGTCAGTATCGAACCTGCGGCCCTCTGGAGCAGCGCTCTAATATGGCCAGAAATCACGGAGATGATTATTCTACTTCCTTACCAATTTGCATATCATTAATACATAACCCGTTGAAATATGCGGGCTTCGGTAGTAAACAGTAAATTATATTACGCGATGCTTTAACTAGAATCGCAAAATCAGAAATATTGCATGGTAGGTCGTTTGCAATTTGCCTCGATTGCTGGCTGCAGAACACGGTCTGTTGAAATATATCGTGTAGTGTTTGCCTGGTGTAAGTTACTGCATGCTTTGCATTTTCGTTTGTTTCTTGTGGCAATAGTGCGGGATTCTTATATAGATAAATAGACAAATTCCTGACGAACTAACCTCTGTACAAATAGTGAAAATGCAGAATAGTCACCAACTAAACGTCGGCAACATTACGCAAAATTCTTCGACAGACTTTGATTTATAGCCAGCGACTGAGGCAAGTTGCAAGCGACCTATACCATATTCTCTGATTTGGGGATCATTGTACAGCATCGCGTAATATAATTTACTGTTTACTGCAGAAGCCATATTTTAACGTGATATGCAAATTAGCAAGGAAGTAGAATAAATCATGTCCGTAATTTCTGGCCATGCCAACTGAGCTACAGAGCCAGTTTTTTAGCTTTAACGGAAATTGTAAGATTGTTAGCCTTAAACACACCAATGACCAATATGAAAGCAAGGCTTTATAAAAAAAAAGAGTAATTGGCTGATGACGATTTACAGTATAAATCCGTGGCAGTGCGTAACAACTTTAAACACATGCTGTTCTCGATTGTTGTTCTGCTCAATTTAAATGCAAAACCACATTTCTCAGTGTTTCGCTGTTCAAAACAATGCAACACTTTGTGAGGTGAATTATTGTGTGCAGTTTCGTTTTGAGGCGAAGCCAGCCTCGAAACGTTTGCAAAATATGGCAGGGCTCTCAGAGCCGAGTTTTGATGCTAAGCGAATGGTTGTGGTTTCAAAATTCCCTTCAAATGTCGGAGAAAACGAACTGACGATTCATTTTCAGAAGAAAGGAAATAGTGGTGGTGGAGAAGTCAACGACGTTGTGCTGGTCGGAAGAGTTGCGTTTGTTACTTTTGATTCACACGAAGGTTTGAACTCTTTCATTTATATTCCTTCAAATAATGTTTGTATCGTGTAAACAGATATTTTGATTTAGGTTAATAGGTTTACTGTTTATATAGTTTTCAGTAAACTGCTCTCGTGCATCAGATGGTAGTCAACGAACGCTGGCAGTATTTACAAGTTTACAGTGAAGATGAAACGTAGATTTGTTTTGCCGGATTGTCTTGAGAAGTCAACCACATGCTTGTATGCTGACGATTCTCAGCTATTTTCATCTGCCGCCGCGAAGGACTGTGTAGAACTTAATGCGAATTTAAATCATGATTTAAACAATGTTAGTCAATGGCTGGTCAAAAACAAACTGCAGCATCATTCAACAAAAACCAAATTAATGTATGTCGGATCAAGTCATATAACCTTGTTAAAATTGACAATGAGCTAGCGTCCCGTCAAATGATTAATGATCGACTGATTCCCAGAGTGCACTCAATCCCGTGTTTGGGAGTTTTTCGGAGCGGGCATATAGGATACGTATTATCACTGTAGTCCTAATATCGGGCTGACAAATCACAGTATTGCTGAGTTTCCGTCAGCTAAGTGTTATGTCATTTGCATTACTGTTTCATCATTTGTAAACTATGATGAGTTTAAGATCTTTTGTGAGTTGTTAATAAAAAATCCAGGCAATGTCAGTAGTTGGTTAGCTCTCTTATTTTGTGTTTTTAGTTGCAACAAGCGTTTTGAATCATTCTGAACAAGTCATCTATGGTCAAAAGATTGAAGTTCAGAGCTATGAATCATGGTTGACAAACAAAAAGGTCAACGATTTTATAATAAACTTACTTCGACTTAGTTCATGACTACCTGAAAAAGACTAATATAAATTTGGACTTGGACTCGAGCAAAAGTTCTTTGTGAGGGTCTATGCTTCAATTGATAACATTCCTGGCTGTCGCCAAAATGTCCAATCTTTGTAATAATTTTTAGATAGTTAAGACACAAGCTATAACATGTTATTTATACTTGATTTAACTCAAACAGATACAGGAAGGCAGCTCTGCGATGGACAACCAAGGACGCAGTCAACCAGAAGATGCTGCCTCAAAAGGTAACTCGGTCTATAACTCTTGCATTTCTAACTCGCATCCTTCCTAATTCTGTCCGTATGTAGTTTTTCTAATTCCATCACATCATCTTGTTCTTTGTCTTCCTCAGGACGCCTCATGTTATTTTTGTCTTCATCTGGTTACTTTTCCTCTTAACTCTGTTTTCTTAGCTAACTTAACTTAAATGTTTGCATTACCGACAGTTCAAATCTTTCCAGAATTTTCTTACAATCTTGTCCCGCTCCGTGTGACCATGCATGTTCTTCTATATATTTTTTGACAGATTCCTTACATCTTCTTTTAGCTAACTTTCTATGATAGATAGATAAGATAGATAGATAATTTATTTAACGACATATCAGAGAGGAGCAGGAAAGCTCGTAAAAACGTGAACGTCAGATATTAGAATATAAACCTATACAATTAATTTGTAGAACCTAAATTCATAGTTATATATATACAAATTTATCTTAAAAATATATGAGCATATAATGCATTCCTAAAAGTCTTAATATCGTTTAATTGTCTTATCTCAACTGGCAGTTTATTCCAGAGAGTACTGGCTATATATAAAAATGACTTATGAAGCCACTCGAGGTTAATTAAATTGTGGCTGCTCCAAATTTGTACCTGTACTTCGTAAGTTATATCTAACCAACCTAAGCTTGAATAGTTCATTAATATAAATTAAACGGAACCTAATAAATTAATCGACTTAAACACCAATATAAGTGTTTGATAGTGTCTTCTTTCAGAAAGTGATCCCATGTTGACATAAAATCTTAGAATATAATCATACTCCACCGATGAGGACAGTCCTAGAATAGATCTTAGAATATAATAGTTTGTGTCCTCCGATTTCTTTCCCTCCGCCTTACCAATTCCAACCTATAATGGACTACAGTATTCTAAATGAGGTAAGATGTAGTAAGCCTTGTATAAACGAATCATTACATCATTTTTCTAATCACGTGTCCAAACCATTCTTGTTTATCCCCACGTGTGCTAGATGTTCTTCTTTAAACAGAATCTTCTAAATAACTATCAATATAAAATTTCAATCTATATGTTTAGATACACAAAATGTGTTAAAAGTGAGCACTGTATTCGAACCAACCCATGACAGAAGCATTTTATTGGCAAAAAACCTAAATCCAAAGACGAGCAAAGAAACGCTTCAAAAGTTTGTAGAATCGAAAAAAAATGTTGACGTCTTCAACGTTGTTTTTGGGAAAGATGGTAAAGCCATCGTGATATTAAAAAATGAAATAGGTAGGTGAAGGTTTTGTGCCAGCAATTGACAGAAAGAGAGTATCTGATTAGAGCTTGATTACTCACATTTGCGGATTTGTCCATTTTTTTCTGACAGCTAACAAAATGTCTTAATTGACAACTGACTGACTGGCACGGACAGCTAACAAACGATTTGAACCTTATCTGAGAACTGATAATCAAACACCTTTATTATTGGGAAATAAAACATCTTTCCTTTACTTAGATAAAGATTATTCAAAGAAAGAGAGGTCTAATAAAAGCATGAAGTTGGACGGCTCCATTATTTCCCTGGAATTTGCTCCACTGACCAAAGGCATTAGAATCAGTAATATACCACGAGGAACGCGCTTGGATTATATCAGGTTTATATTTTCAAATACAAGAATCGGTGGTGGTCCAGTCACGGACATGATGCTGGATAGAAGGAATGGGGTTGCAAATGTTTACTTTGAAAAAATGTCAGGTATGAATTAGGTTTATTTTAATGAAAAGTTTGCCCAAATACTGAACAGATTTCCACGATCTGGATACTCCAGTCAGGTTTTGTAAGACTATTGAATCAATACACAATGACCCCATTAGACCGGCTCTAAAGGAGAATAGTTTAGAACTGATAGAACTATATCCGATATAACTAAGTCAGTTTAGTCTAGCTAGGTTTCCTTCTGTAGGATCCTCACTGGAGGACCTTTAGGAAGAACAGTTTAGAACTGATAGAGCTAGCTATCCAGTATAAATAAAGTTAGTTCAGGTTTTCTCCTGTAGTAACACTGAATCAATAAGAGATGATCTTTACTGGACTTCTAAGGACGAAGAACGGTTTAGATCTGACAGAGCTATCCAGCATAATTGGGGGGGGGGGGG